CGGGCCTGGTAAGGACTGAATTGATGTGTTCAATTAAGTTCTATGTCAAATGAATCTGAGATCGAGAACCAATTGCTGGACAATAAGTATGACCATGTTCCATGTGATTGTCCGCACGATATCTAGAACAGAGGATTATACGATCCCTTATCTGAAGGACAGGTTACTGATAAGATCAGAGTTTGACAGCGTCTTTGAGAGCTACGATTGCTAATCGGATTAGGTTTGCATTTATAGTTACTAGACTTATCCAAGTGGGAGACTATTGGATTAGTGTCTAAGCCCGTAACTATATTTGGTAAGTACTTGACCCGGTTGTGCATGGTCCTTTTGGGTTGCCTTCACCATAGCAACTTGACAGGGTGATTTTTGAAGAGAGAAGAGACATTATTATATTAATATATTATGAGAATAATATATTAAAGGAATAATAATATTATTTAATTAATATTAGTCATAAATTAATTAGGAATTAATTTGGTGACTAAAAGAGGTTAATTGAATAAAGGGGCTTAAACTGTCAATTGTGTGATAGTTGTGTTTTTGGGCTATGAATCCTTATAGAACTAGGGGTGGCCAAAATTAAGGAGTATGGGCTCCTTGAATTCGTCCAAGCCTTAATATGGAAGGATCCTTGGATTGCTTAGGGCCTAAGTTATTCAATTAGGGTTAAGGATGTAACCCTAGTAGCTCATAGTATAAATAGACCCTATGGGTTGGAGAAATCGTCCACCTTGCTTCCTTGGGAACCCTAGAGCCGATTTCTACACCTCTCCTCTCTCTCTCCAAATCAACCTCTTGCTAGTTGGCGTTTGTAAGCCATTAGAGGAGTGACAATTGTGACTCTAAGCTCCAAGAACAATAAGATTCAAACAAGCAACTTAAGGTATTCATCTAGATCTGATTTCATGTGTTATGTTTCAATTGTATTCTTTAGATCTAGGATTGTAAGCCTTGGATACATTGCATGTTCAATTAGAGAAACCTAGATCCAAGCAGTAGGGTTTGCATGTGCACATAGGAAAGTTCTTATGGCTCAAACCCATCAGAATAAACCCAAGGAGGTGTAACAGCTAGCCCTAGAATAGCCGACGACGACATCTCAAAACACAAACAGAGGTCAGAGGGTCGTGAGCGGTGATTGTTGCAGCCTCATGAAGCGATAGGGAGATCCTATACTATGGCGATTTTTAAGTTAGGTGGAAGATTGAGAGAAGGAGAAGGCCATATAAATGATGGACAAAACAGTCAGTATAGTTTAAAAACCGTGGATGAATAAAAAAGAGTCGTAGCAATATCGTCTCCCTAATAGCTAATCCTTTCAAAGGTTTTATAACAGTAGATTTTAGTGGATAAGGTTATAGTCATCATTTAATATCAACTTCCATTATAGTTTGTTTTAATTATCTTTAGAAAATAATCACCCTAAATAAAGTTATTTTAGAAGGCTAGGATCCATATTTGGCTTCATGATGTGTAAAGGGATGCCATAAACACACCATAAAGTTATTTATGTAGGAAAACCCTTTACCAATTTCGATCACCACGAAATTCCTAGATCTTTGAGATTCATTGACTATCAATAGCATGTTAATCTCAGATTATGTTCATCTTAAATTCAATGACAAGGTCGCTGCAGATCACTAAACAGATGGTGAATCGACCGTACAAAATCTTGTGGTCCCCGACTCAAGTTACGCTTGAGATTCGCGAGTTCCATATCATTCTCTACCTATACTCTCAAATTGATATGTCGGTTAACCACACGAGCTCCATCAACAAGTTATAAAGAGAATGTGCAACTTTTATGGATAACATAAGATTCACATTAAATAGATTGTGAATTAACCATGCATAATCGCATGGTCCCCGGCTCAAGTTACGCTTGAGATTCGCGAGTTCCATATCATTCTCAACTATCTTCTAGATTAATATGTCGGTTAACCACATGAGCTCCACTAACAGAATATAAAGAGAATGTGCAATTTTCATGGATAATATGAACTTCACATTCTATTAATAAAACGGGATTTTGTTTTATACTTGTATTTATAATACTTTTAGATTGATCATTATCACTATCAAACCCTTTCGGTAACTCTATTATCAAAATGAAATAGGGCGGTGAGGGTGGTAAGAGCGAAACATATTAAAAACCGACCTCATTAGGAATCCTAGAGACTTCCTTAAACCCCTACATCAGAATGGGTGAGCCTAGTCATGGTAAAACTACTAATGTCAATATTTAAACACGCGAGGACGCATGTTGTACCTTTCTTATGCATATAGTATATACAATTCTAATATATAATGGGTAAAATTAAAGCTCTTTAAATTTAGTTGTATATTATTAACTCTAATTAATTGCGAGGACGCAATGTAACAATTAATAAATCATGAGGGGTTATTATTCAAATTTACAAATCTCTATTATAAATAATGTTAAATATTTAAATTCACTATTTAAATAATAAATAAATATACAAATTTAAATAATCACACTTAAATAATATTTATCAATTTTACCGATTTAAAACATTTTAAAATTGGTATTTATCTATATTTGATAAAACTTCTAATTTGAAAACTGGAAGAAAAAATCGAAACCCTAATTCTGCCGCGCTCACGTTGTGAGCCCTATGCTCTCACGCCGTGAGCAGCGATTAGGTTTTAACACTTACGAATTTTTTAATTATTCTTCTTTAATTCAATTTCAAACAAGTATTTTCAGAAAATATGGATCTAGGATGAAGGTAATCATCAACCAATGGCTCTGATATCACTGTTGGGTTTTCTATGCATCAAATATACTCTAAACTAGGTAGCGGAAAAAATCGAAACTACGATATACCTAAGTGTACATACAACATATGGATCTATGGTTTAATGCTAATTACATCTACCCTAGAAAACATAAAACAAAGAAGAAAACATACCTCTTATGTAGTCCTTGATCTCCATACTTGATATCTTGATCCTCCATGAAGTTGTTTGGATGAGAGGACCCAAACCAAAATCCCTCTAATGGTATCACACCCAATGACACCAAAGAATGGAATAAAAATAACTAAGAGAAGGGTCAATTTCACAAACCGAAAGAGGGTTAGAAATAGTCCCTAAGAGGAAGAGGAAAAAGAGTTGGCGAAACTTTAAGCCAATGTGGAAGAATAAATGAAATCCCTAATGCCCTATTTATAGCCTTGGATCCCATCCTAGGTTTTGTACTCCTTCCCATGAGGGATGGGAGCATAACCACATAATTCACTCTTTTTCCCATGTGGGATGGAGTGATTTTCTTCCAACCCTAGTCCCATAAGGGTTTTGGAACATTCATGATTAGCCAATTATCGGTTAATGAATATTCAACCCTTTAATTAGTTAAACTGTTAATTAATTCCCAAAATATATTTCCAGTTAGTTTCTATTTAATTATTAACCACAATAATTAATAAACAAATTTCTCATTTATTTATTCTACTCAATTTGGGTCTTGAGGGCAACCCAAAAGGACCATGTTATTATCAGAAGTACTAACAATAGTTAATGACCTCAGACACTATTTCCAACAAGGTGAACAAAGCCTGGATTTAAAAGCTCCAAATCAAGCAATGACTCTTCAAGAAGTTCCTTCTTCCTTCTTAAGCACCAAAAACACACATAAATCACCTTGAAGTTCAAGAATCATTCAAATGGGGGCTAGGGTTTCGTTCTTAGCGTTAGAGAGGATGGAGGCTGAAGAATGGAAGAGGTTTGCGTCCATAATGATGCTTATAAAGGGGCCAAACCCTAAAAACAAGTTTTTGAAACAGCCCCGCGAACGCCCTGCGTTCTCTTAGGGAACGCCCAACGTTCCCATGTTGGCCTGCGTCCATTTTCCTTTGAACGCCATGTGTTCCCACCTGGTACGCCATGCGTACCAGGTTTGGTCTAAAACCCTTCTAACTTCAAATGATCATAACTTTTGCATCCCTTATTCGTTTTCGACGTTCTTTATATTCACGGAAAGGTAACGAGAAGCCCTACACTTCTATGAACTTATACTTGCCTTAAACTTCTCCATCAAAAATCCAATTTCCATTAAAGCCCGAACTGACACTTTACCGAAATACCCCTTGGCACCAAAACACAAACCGAACTCCCGGATCATCCAAATTACATTACCCATACCCAAATTGGTCTAAATCTATTTTCCTCAAAGGCCCTACGCCTTATGATACTCGGTCTTTGGGTCACCATCTTGCATTAGGAAACGATTCTGAACAGGGCGTTACATAATGTCATCCAAGTATAATCTCAAAGACAAAACCAAGAACTTACCATCAATTTCAAGTTCCCATACATACGTATCCCTAACGTCACTGAACATAACTTGTTGAAGCTTAGAGAAAATAGACTCAAACTGAGCACTTGTACCTCCACTTCTAAGTTTTAGGCCAAACGCATCAATCAACTTTAGTCTAGAGCTCCGATCAACAACCAAAGCTCTCGGGTCTGGATCAAGAGCAAACACCCGTGGAAATTGAACCTTGAAAGCTTCCTCTTCCAGCCGCACGTCCAACCAAAAACGAATCATGTTACCATACCCCGCCTTAGCTTTACACATGTCCTCCATGTGAATATGTTTCCTCCACGTGATTTGTAATTGTATGTAACTCATATGATGAAACTTTTTATAGTAAAATAAAAACTTTTCAATTATCATTCAATTACTTAGTAATAATAAGATATAAATTCAAAAAATTCTTGAATGAAAACTATTAATTACTTGAAAGATAAAAGATTATCGAGGTTTCAAAAAAATATAATACAAAAATGAGACTTATCTTGAATTATATTCATTTAAATAGTATGTTTTTATAAGAGATAAATAGAAAATAGATAAAAGAATCGTCATTTGGGAAACTTTTTGGGAAATAATGGATAGTCCACAACTCCACATTTTGAGCTAATTTTATGTTTGGGCTGCTACAGTGGAATATTTGTTCTTTAGCCCAAAGGACATGGTAACCAGAAAAGTGAATATAAAAGATGGTTTGAGAATTTGGCATCGTATTTTTTAGATTTTTTGGAATTAAGTTGGTGAGAATGTGATGTTCAATCGCTTGCTTTTATTAGCCATTGTGATTGTGATTTCGCCACCATCTCCTTGTAGCCTCGCCAAGTATTACGATCTCCCATTTTCCAAAACATCCTTTATGTTCAAGAATATGCTTCTCCCCAAGATAACTCCTGGATTATTCATAATTCAAAATTGGCCTTTAACCACCAGGTTCTTCTCAAAGCGATCATTTTCTTTTCTCTTCCTATTCAGTTCTTTAATGAGGCTCGTCGATTTATCCATTCCCAGGATCTTATCCTCTGGATTTTTAGTTGTCAATTGTCAACAAGCTGCTATGTCTTTCGTTGATGCTTCAATGTCATCTCATTTTACTCTTTCCACAAATCTGTTTACAATCTTCAATAATTTCTGTTGATGCATTTTTGTAATTTTTTCGCTACTCCCTGTTCCACCTCTTGCTTCTGTAACTCGTTTTTCTCTTTTTTCTTTTAACATTTCGAGGACGAAGAAGAAAACGAATAGGAAAAGTACATTTGATTTTCATCATCGTTTGCAGGTGCATTTAGGTTATGACGATGAGATTCATCTTCTCTATCGACTGATTTTAATGTAAGTTGTTTTTTTATAATTCAATTAACATTCTCTTTCACACTCCTCTTCTAATTTCTGTATCCAAAAACTTGTAAATTGGAATTAGCTGTTAACATCCAAATGTTCCGTACTTTGTTCAATTGATATTATTATTAAAATTCCTATTGCGTAATTTGGGGATTTGTCGTTTGACATTTATTGTTGGTATGAATTCAACCTCATTTGACATTTTCAAACTTGAAGATGCTGCACAAAACCTTATCCAGAAAGCTGATGTGAGTTTACCTTCAGTTTATATGTGTAAGTAGCATCTGTTACTATATTTTTTATTCAACTACAGCAAGATGAATACGCAACCAAATGGGTGAATTTTTGAAAATGCAATGCAATGCAATAAAAAAGAACAAAGTACAGTTTTGAAACAACATTCCTATTTCTTTTTTGCTTATATTATTATCATTTGTTTTTAGGCTGATGTTTTACTTCTTGGTTTTCCTCTTAAAATCAAATGTGGGAAGAGTAAAAATTAGAGTAAATTACACGAATGGTTCCTATGGTTTGAGGTAATTTGCGCGCTTAGTCCCTAACTTATTTTTTTAACTTGGAAGGTCCCAACTGTTTGTTATTGTTATGCGCTTGGTCCCTACAGTTTGTTTTTGTTACGCGTTTGGTACCTGTCTTACCTAAAAAGACTATTATTTAAATAGAGAAAAATGGTGGGTGAATAAGGTAAGGTGAAGGGGATGAGTTTGGGGGTGTGTTTATTTAAATAAATTAAAAAATCAAGGGCAAAATAGTCTTTTTAGGTAAGACAGGGACCAAGCGCATAACAAAAACAAACAGTAGGGACCTTCCGAGTTAAAAAAATAAGTTAGAGACCAAACGAGCATATTACCATAAACCATAGGGACCATTCGTGTAATTTACTCTAAAAATTATTAAAACTTTTAAGTTGAAACGTGAACGTGACCATTGTTTATGATTTTCCTATAAAAATTGACATTAAATAAGCACTTCACATTTTGACTTGTAAAGAAAATTGTTGGTTTTATTTTCGGAAGATATTTGCGTTGGACATATTTGGTGAACTACCACTAGAACTCTTTCAAGTCACTGTGCTTTCAGACTTGTATAAGAAACCAACTTCTTTTTACCGAATCTATAAAACACATTATTACATATCATTTTAAGTTAAATTCAAGATTAGTTTTTTTTTTTCTATCAACAACAAACCATTACTTAAAAAAAAATGATATTAGTAAGTTCAATACTTCTAAAATAACAATTAACTTTTTGTTTATTTATGTATTATGACAACCCACATAACTGCAATTTAATTGACAACTTTTCTTATTTGTTATATTTCCTTTGGTTTTCTGATTTGGAGGAGAAGAGGAAAGCTTTGGAGGCACTAAAACATGTGAAGGGGGGTGGAAGTTGTTGAATAGCTTGCTGCCATTATCAATATTATCAAGTGAATTAACACATTAAAATAATAAACCAAATAAGAAAAGTTTAATGTTCAGATAACAATAAACAAATCAACAAATAAAATAAAAATATATATAATGTGAGAGCATGGCCACGTACGTGTGTATGCATGCTCATGTGTCCGTATGAAAACTTCAACTTGCCCCCTAAAAGTGTATAAATAGGCAGATAATTCCTCTTTCTATTGACACCAAACCATCAACATGGTGATAATTTCACAAATAGAAAAGAAGCCTTTGGTAAATATATTTCCAACCAAATCAAACAAAACCAAATTTACTGGAATCCCAGTTATTGACCTTTCACGTCCCGAAGACGCCAAGAATCTAATTGTTAATGCGTGCCAAGATTATGGTTTTTTTAAAGTAATAAACCATGGTGTGGCACCATTGCTTGTATCTGAATTGGAAAAAGAAGCTATTCAGTTCTTCAACATGAGACAGTATGAGAAAGATCAGTTTTGTCCTCCGAACCCGTTTGGGTACGGAAGGAACAAAATTGGACTAAATGGAGACGTTGGATGGGTTGAGTATCTTCTTTTTACTTCCACTAATTTCCCTATGAACTCCAAAATCTTTTCGTAAGATCTACTTTCTCATTATGTTTTGTGCATTTAATAATTACTATATAAGTTGTGTAATCTATTGAGTTCATGCAAAATAATTTATCTTGAAATATATTTTTTAATATGTAGTTATATCACTAACTATAACAGGATTTATGTCGTCGCCTAATATATATAATTAATATCAAATATTTAATTACCAACTTTTTGATATGTCGGAGCCCTGTGACGCACGGAGTATACTTGCATTCAAAGATTCAAAACTGCGGTCAACTTGTTTCTGGAGTGTTGTTAGCAAACATACAACTTTTCATTTTTAAAGAAATTGGTTATTCAATTTAAAAAACCCAAATTTCTTATTACAAAATCACAGATGTCAATATATATTGACGGAAGACAAACTTTTCATTATATCTTATTTTAATTGTTTTAAAATGCTATATATCTTATCGCTAAAACCAGTTTGGTCTATAAACTTTTTAATCATATATCTTTCATACAATATTATGTATTTCTATTTGATTATTTGTTAAATTTTACTAGATTATAGATTGAATCATATATTGCACCTTGAGAAACAAAATATATTTTTCATTGTTTTTTGTTAGAAAAAAGTGGGAATAAAATCACAAAATAATCAAACATGGACAAATTAATAACCTAACGGGATGCATTTGAGTCTTTATTTATATAACAAGTTTTTCAAATAATTACTTGAAGAACTACGTTATAAGTTTATACATAAATAAATAATATGTTTTTTTAACGACAAATCTAATATATTCGTAAACTATGTCTAATTTCACTATATGTTTTGACCTTAAAAAATGAGGACAACACCATTAGCTTATACAAACATTTACAATTGAATTTTATATTGTTATTCCTTTTGTGTTGTGAAGGTCACTAGTAAATGAGTACGTAAAAGAAGTAAGAAAAATGGGGTGTAATATACTTGAGTTAATGGCGGAGGGCCTTAAGATAGAGCCAAAGAATGTGTTAAGCCGAATGCTAAGCGATGAGAAAGCCGACATAGTCTTTAGGCTTAACCACTATCCACCATGCTCTGACTCTAACCCTGACTCAGACCTAGACCTGAACAATAGGTCCATGAGCCACGGAAGAACCTCGATTGGATTTGGAGAGCACACAGACCCACAACTTATATCGATTGCTAGATCCAATGCCACATCAGGCTTTCAAATTTATCTTGAAGATGGAACTTGGGTCGCAGTCCCACAAGATGAGACATCCTATTTCATCAACGTTGATGATTTGTTAGAGGTGATTTTTTCTTTTAGAGAGACAATTATAACTCATATATTTTATATTTAACTAGTTTACCACAATAACAAATAGCCAATGTTCACCATCTTAAATATTTTTTTTGTAAGTGTACGTTTGATAATTTTCTATATAATTATACAAAAATGAAAAAATATATATCGGATAGTCCACCTTTATACGTTCATATCGTCTGTCTTAACAATATATCTTTTGATCTAAAAATGTATTTTGGTCTATTAGAAACATATCTAAACTTAATGATTAGTGATTCAAGAATCAATTATCAAAACAATCTTATCTAATAAAAGAGTGTTCCTTTCATACGATCTTTAATATACATTTGGTTGTATTCAGTTACGCGCTATCTAATATTACAACCTGGTTTTCCTTAAAAAAGTTGTAGTAATTCTACTAGAGTACTAGTGACAACATAGGTAGTTCAAAATGGGTAAAATTTTAGAATCTGTCAAAACAGAATGGGTTGATCTGTTTTCTAAAATTTCTTGAATTATTTTTATATATGAACCATGACTATAAAAATTAATATCGAAATGATACTCAACATTTTAGAATAAAGCAATTTATAATTTTATAATCATTTCATCATTTGAATATACATTCTAAGCAACTTTTGACCTTATTGGCCTATTTTTTTTATTAGCTAAACTTTATTGTTTTACGCACTTAATCCATTTTCAGCATAGTAAATTTAAATTGAACAATTTTTATATAAAAAAAATAACATTTTTTTGATTTGAGTGAAGGTAATGACAAACGGAAGATTTAAAAGTGTAAGACATAGGGTGGTTGCAGACAGTTTCAAATCAAGGGTGTCAATGATATACTTTGGAGGTCCACCATTGATGGAGAAGATCTCGCCATTGGATTCACTCATGGAGCCTGATGAAGAAAGTTTGTATAATGAGTTCACTTGGTTTGAGTATAAATCATGCACCTACAAGACCAGGTTGGCTGATAATAGGCTCTCTCGCTTTCACAAACACTCTCATCCAGTGTAATTGACCTATCTTCAAAGTCAAACATGATGCACTCATAAACTTAATCAATCACATCTAAACGAATCTCAGAATATGTTGATTATTTATATTAAGACTCATTGTTTACATGATCTTTTTTTCTTTGTAGTTGTCTCTTTCACACAAATGTTTTTGATTATTTGATTTCAGTTATTTCATTAATCACAATCATTTCAATGTTTTCATTCTTTGTCATTTCTTTGTATGTATGTGTGTATGTCTCTAGTGATAGGTCTATTGTTGGTAAAAGCACGTTGTGTTCCCATTCTTGAAACAACTCTCACACGGGTGTTTTTAAAATAGTTTATAAAATCCAATTGATTTTAGCTTAAAAATACTTCAATAGAGTTCAAGTGTAGAAATAAGGTTCCAAATTCCCAAAACAAAGAGTTAATAGTTCAAAAATGCGACGTATGTGTGGGGATTTTATTCAAAATTAGTCAATTTTTAGTGACAAAATTAACGTAATTAATAACGAAAACATTTTCTAATTTGAATAAACTAAAACCAATTTAACCCACCAATGATTATTTTGCAAGACTTAGAAAGATTAAAACATAACGAAAGGAAAGATGAAGTTTATAACCTTTGAAGACTTTGGCTCCTTTTGACAATTATGAAGTTGATAAAAATGATACAAAAACTCTAAGTAAAAGTCATCTATAATATATCCACCAAAACAAGAGTAGAACCACTAGTTGATGCTAGTCTTCCACTTCTATGAGTTGTTCTTAAACTTTAAGACTTATATACTAAATAAGTTCTTAAAGAGAAGTAACTTACTCTACCAAGAACATGCACCAATAATGCAAGAGATGGAGAGGGGAGAACCCCTTGGATTCTCGACTTTGGGAGAGAAAAAGAGAAGAAGAAACAAGCGAAAAGAACTAACTCATTTTCATGTCTCATGCCTTTCTTTTATACAAACACTTAACACATAAGCAAGACTTAAAATAGTGAGAGCATGGGGCATTCTCACAAGCATGGTCTATTCATTAAACTAATAAAAAACAATCACATGCCTCGTCCCCTAAAAATTTGCCCTTGATGCTTTAAGGAGATAAGTTTCAATTATTCATTACCTTTTCATAACTAGCTAGTTGGATGACAATTTAATGGTTACTAAAAGTGACCAAAATTTTGTACACAACATTAATATTCATACCATAATATATTTAAGCTAGTTTTGTTCTCTTTTATTATTATTTCCTAGAAACAATAATTCCCAATATGTGAGAAAATATTAATTTCATAAAAAAATGTTTTTTCCAATTAAATACAAGTGTTGATAAGATTTATTAATAATCAAATTATACTAATAAATAATCAATTAGTAGTAACTTGCTATAAGCGATTTATACAAACGAGCATCAGTCATACAAAGAGGCTATAGTGAGTAAAGATAAATTGGTTAATGGCGGTTAATGAAGGAATGTGATTACTTGAAAAGAATGAAACTTAGGATCTTGTTCAATTACCGAAAGGATCAAAACTAACTGCACAACTAGCAAATTTAGGGTCGAGATTGTATCCATGTACAAACAACTTTTCTATGTAACCTTGTTGAAATGGATTATTGTAATTCAAAATGACAATGTTATATGAGTACATATATGCATACACTAAGAATCGTATAAGCTCAAGTTTGATCTAATAGCTAAACAAAAACCAATTTTTGGGCCTTTGCTTATAAATTCTCGGCCCAAATAACCCATGACCGAAAAGCCTTTTTCTTTGGGCCATATTGAAACCGAAAACCCTTCTTATTGGACCATATAAAACCCGAGAACCCATATCTCCAAAACCGAAAACCTTGTGTGAGTGGAGGGTGTTTTCAGCCACCCTAAAACCGAAAACCTTATCTTGAACTAGAAAAAATCGGTTCTTGGATGCATAACCCAAGATTTGACTAGTGGTGACACCTCATTACTTTGCCACTCTTTGTCCATCAAACAACCATGAAAGACATATAACAACCTATCATGCCTCCATGCACATCACCAAATGGACCAACATACAAAGGTAAAAGGTGGCACCCCTCTCCCCTTAAATACTTGCGGCCGAGAGTGGGTTTATCCCACTCTTGCCACTACATTCTTACTTCCAAACTCCCTTTCTCTCTAGAACAAGATCATTTTCTTTCAAGACTCCTCATCTCAAGGTCGGTCCTAGGATTCTTTGGTAAGTTCTTTATGAAACTCAAGTGTGTTTATACATTTTGTTGTCAAGTTCTACACGTTTGCACACATTTTTCGTGTGTTAGATCCTTAGAACACTAATACCTCCATGAAGTTATTCAAGTTCATACACAAGGCCAGGCTCGAAAACTATCACCTCTTCCTTCCTACAACCCACGAAAATCACCAAGGTGAGCTTCATACCCCCATTATTTTCAAGTTTTACAAGCTTTTAGGGGGGGATACAAGTCTAAACACGTTTACCCAATGGATATTTCTATGCATCAACTTGTTTATGGAATAATATGTGCATGAAATGTTGAAATCATCATATATTTACACCTAAAAATCGTGATTTGCAAGGTGTTATAAGTCCAAAATGTGTTTGTCATTTGGACATTTGCATGCATTATGTTTAATTGTTTGAATATGGAACAATTTCTTGTATAACAAGTAGTTATCACTTGCTTACTACCTAAAAATCGTGATTTATGTGGATATCATCATCTTATTTTCACAAAGATCGTGTTTATGGGTTGAAACACACAAATATAACAAAAACATATATATATATATATATATATATATATATATATATATATATATATATATATATATATATGTCCAAATGTGTTTGATCTTTGGATACTTACATGTCTCATCTTTACAAATTAAAAATTGTATAAGTATAAAAATGTTGAAGTCACCATATGGTTTTTATAAAAATCGTGACCTATATGGTAAGGTTGACAAAATTAAACTATTTTGTGTTACAAAATTTTAACCGGAAAAATATGAGATGTACATAACTACAAATTCTTGGAGATTTTTACTAAAAATAACTTTTCTAGTAAAAATGGTCGTATTTTATTCGTCACTGTTTTGATGGTTTAAAACCCAATAATATTATGTTTTAACAAACTTACAAATAGATATTTATATAAAATTTATATAAATAGTTTACACAAAAACATACAAGGCAAATTATTAATGGTATAGTTTGTGTGTCATAAAACTCATGTCATAAATTTCCAATAGTGTAATTATTTCATGATACAAGAAAAGGGAGTTGTAGTTCACGTAAATCTGTTAATGCTCTAGTGAGACACATTCACTTCACCGTACCTACCTAGTGTACACTTTAAGTCCTACATTATAACCAGAGTCTCCTGGAGGGAGAGCGAGATAGTTGTGTATAACTCTATATGGGGATTGATAACCCCACACCTGAGCTGTTCGCTACAGCTAGACGAGCCAGTCTAGGGTGACAAATTTCTTACCGATTCCTACGCCTGAAGAATGTCGTACAGGCATAACAGTCACATTAAGCATGGTCATAATAACTCACTCATGGATTAACAATACTATCTTGGTTTACGGGAAGCTTACACTTCACCGGTTTTATTAAAATATAAAACAGCATACTACTTTTCAGTACACTATTGTTTACATTTATGGTCTTAGGCTTTAAGACTACAGTTTTCATACATCAGAAAATATTGGATTTTCTAGGAACATACATTTTACAATTACAAGGAAAAGAAACAAAGGGCATATACACATATATTTTTAGTGTTTGGTGTAAGACTTACAAATCATTTTTATAGAAAATATCGGATTTTCTGGAGATATACAAACCATTTTTAAACAAAGCAGTTACAAATCTTTTCATACAAATATGCTTATGAACTCACCAACATTCAATGTTGACGCTTTTCAAAATCACTTGTATTCTCAGGGAACCAGTAACAGGTAATCAACTCTTTTTGAGATCAAGGGATGCTGCACCATGGAATTTTACTTTTCTGTCACTTTTGTGTAACTTATGAACAAATACAGTATGTAAACTATGTAAGTTTGTATTCTCAATGTATGCTGCATGGGTTGCTATGTTTCATTTATATTCAACTGTTATGATACTATACAATGACATTTATATTCAACTGTTATGTTTCATTTAAAAGGTTGACTAGGAATGAGTGGAAAAACTCGGTTCGTGGGGTCCATGAATACCATGGGGCATTCGTCAGACCAAAAGGGCATAACAACGAATTCGTAATGACCGTATCGAGTTCGGAAAGCAGTTTTTGGAACGTCCCCTTCTCGGACTCGAAGTTGATGATAACCAGTTCTTAGATCTATTTTAGAGAAATAACTAGATCCTTGAAGCTCGTCAATAGATCGTCAATCCAAGGGAGTGGATATCGGTTTTTGACTGTGAGCTTACTCAGTTCCCTATAATCGATGCACATCCTGAAGGATTCGTCCTTCTTCTTGACAAACAAGACCGGAGCTCCCCAGGGTGAGAAGCTTGATCGGATGAGTCCTTTGCTTATCAACTCGCTTAGTTGGCTGGATAACTCCTGCATTTCGGTGGGAACTAACCTGTAGGGTGAATTGGCAATTGATGTGGCTCCCGGTACTAGGTCAATTCGGAATTTGATCTGCCTTTCTGGGGGTATTCCCAGAAGGTCTTCTGGAATTACATCCGGGAAGTCACATGCCACTGGGATGTCTTTAATGTTGATTTTCTTCTTTGGCTTTATATACAACATGAGCGAGGAACGCATAGTTCTTCTTGTGTAGGCACTTCTGTGCCTTGATGCACGAAATAAGACGAAGATTTGCGCCAGGTTTATCACCATAGATTATTAGGGTTTCGCGATTGGAGAGGTGAAGGCGAACGACCTTATCGCGACACATAATATCAATATGGTGGGGGCTTAACCAATCCATGCCGATTATCACATCAAAACTCCTAATATTTACTAGCATCAAATCTATTTGAAAATGAATGGTTGTTTA